AAAAAAAAAAAAAAAAAAACCGCAAAAAACCACACCAGATTCTCAGGGGTGTACTTACCTTGTATGTTGTAATTAAACTGTCGGAGTAGTTTTCTCTCTGAAGCATTGTATACTTTGTATCATAATGTCTCTCTAGTCAAGCACTTTCCAAATGTTTGAAAATGCTGACAAGCTGCTCAAGGTTTAGAGGACTGATAATGGTGAAGAATTTTTATGATTTTTTTCCTCAAAAACTGTTTACTTTCAGGAGTCTGTGCAAAAAGCAAATCCCAACTTCGGCCTGTAGAAATGAGATGGAGCCATATGTCAGTTTTAGCTTACAACAGTATCAAATTGTCATGCACACAGAATTAATTCAGTGTAACCTTTAAAGTTTTTCTTAAGACATGCCTTACCGTGAGAAGCCTTTGGTGCTAGTCTGAGGAATTTAATATTGATTGATAATGGGAAGGAGTTGGTTCTTGAGTAGGGAACATTGTCTTCTAAATATCCTTGGTACACAAGGGACTTAGAAGAAGACATCTAGACTGAGACATCAGCAATAACTTGTTGATACAATCTAATCGTGAGGTCATGGGGGCTGGATAGGAATGGTAGTGTGAATATGGAGAAGGACGTGTGGTTATTGGCTCTGTCTTTAATCGCAGGCCAGGAATTTACCACAGGGTTCTTTAAAAGTAGCCGGGTAGTTCTCAGTTAAATGCCTAGATCCGAGCGAGTGAATTTGGGCTAAGTACTAGCCAATTCTCTCTCATCGTTAATTTTACAGGAATATTGTAAAATACACCTGATTATGCAATGTATACATCAGTGGGGAAATGATGGATTTAAGTGTGGCATTTCATTTGCAGAAATCATCTGTAACCCGGTATCTTCTAAGTTGACGTTGCCAAAAGAAGACAGAATAGAAGATGGGGAGGATTTAGCAAAAGTATCAACAATGGTTTCTACTCCACAACTATTTATTAAATGCCTTTTGTATGCCAGGCACTGTTAGGTGCTACTTAATAGAGTGGAGAACAGGAGTGGAGATACTTCTCTGTCCTTATGGAACTTACAGACTGGTGTGAAGGACAAATGTTAAGCAAAGAAAAATCACCAAATTAATGCAGTTAAAATTTTTGATAGGTGTCATGGAGTGAATGCTTAGGGCTTTATGACAGAATAACAAATCGAATTTAGATTGGGAAATCAAGGAGGCCTTTCTGATACTTTAGCAGAAGCCTTACTGTGCAGCTCTTGGATGGAGGTACCATTTACTAAGGGAAGGAACATTTTTTTTTAGGTGTTCGGAGGATATCCAGTAGTTCCAGACATGTTTAATTGAGATATCTGGGAGGAAATGTTAAGTGGGAAGTTGGGTATATGGTGTGGAACTCAGCAAAGGTGTTTGGTCTTAGCGATATGCACTTATGGTCAGTAAACGTTTGGCTGTTATTTAAAGCCCTAGGAGAGGGTGGATACAGGGGAGAGAGTAGAATGAGAAGGTGCTCACTGAAGGACTTTGTAGTGCATCCGTCTCAAACGTCAGCCTTGGTCAGAATCATTCGGAGGACTTGATGAACACAGAATGCTGACCTGACCCTGATGTTTGATTGAGTCTGCCCGGATGGGGCCCAGAATTTTCATTTCTGCCACCTTCCTCAGTGACACTCGTACTGCTGGTCCAGGAACCACCTTCAGAACCGCCGATTGAGAGCAGGCAAAGAAGACTAAGAAGGAGCTGCCAGAGAGGGATGAGGAGTAACAAGAGAATCTGACACCTGGGAACGCAGGAGTGTTTCAG